AACTCACAGAGCTAATTCTCGAGCTTCTAATTCAATAGTATTATCTGAATGAATAATCGATTTTCGGGATTTATATTCTGGACCATAAACTTCATAAAATTTGTTCACAATATCAGCATGTTCTGGAACCTATAAACACATAATTTTGAATTTTTCCTTCAAGCATTTTGTTATTACCATTGCATTGTATATTTCACTTACAGTATTATGAATAAATACATGAATATTTTCTTTGGGATAGTTCAATGTTAGTACGTTATCAAAAAATTCTTCCAAAAATGGAGTGGGCTTTTCAATGAATATACTCAGGCCAACAGTGGGAAATTGACCTTCCTGAAGAGAGTAAGAATTTTGATTTCTATGGCTTTTGTGAGAAGATATTTTATTTGACTTTGCTACAGACCTTAAGTTGGATGGTATCACTATGACATAATGGGCATTCAGTCGCTTTCCAAGCATTTGCAAGATAATTTCCAAAATTATTGAGTAATATTTTACTAGGACCATTTCCATGAACAACGGACGGGCGCGTGCGTTGTTCCGTATTAAGCATAGAAATCCCGGTTTCACTGGACTCAAAATCTAGTTTCAGTTCTTCTGCAAACATTTAATTACTTATTTCAGTATAGTTCATAACAATATACTTATTCTAATTACAAATGGTTTAAATCAACGTACCAGCCGCTCCATTCATATTTTGGAAAATTTCTGATTTATGATCCAATTTTATTTTAAGATTTGCGCGGATCTCTTCATTTAAATAAGCTTTGGTATAAAATAATTGATCGTCGTCAGTATCTTGAATAGGAGCGTATGACAGTAATTTGTAAAGATCTGATACGTAACCTGTAAAATAGTTATAGTTATAAGCATTTATTATCAATAGATATTGATTACTTCCATTCTTAAACATTAAGTATTTACCAATAAACATTCCGCTATTTAAAAATTTTTTGCCGCCATTTTCGGGTTCTGGATATTTATCGGCTAAGGTAACATCAGGCCAACAGAAAGGCTCTGCGGAAAATAATATCCTGGCGCCGGTAGATAAAAATTTATCTACGATATGTTGCGTAGGGGCCAGGAACATTACATCATAACTAAAAAGAAGTTGATATAATAATTAATATAAAAAATAGCTCGTTTTGATTTTATAATTTTCAAAGTAAAAATAATTCACGGAAGTCATTTAAATATAATGATTTTAGAGCATTTCTGTGGATTCTCTTAATATTTTTTTTCTAATTTTTCATATTTCAAATATGATAGCATTTCTCGTTTTCACTTTCTTTAAAGTACATCATAACGTGCAACTAAAAATTAGCAAAGAACTTCTTTTGGCCAATGATATCACCGGATCATATTGCCACCTGGATGTTGTCTTTTAGATGGACGTTAAATAATTACATTATTTGTTCGCGAATTATTTATTACCTGTCAGTAAATATTGCAATTTTATTGTCGTCATCCTTGAATGGTTCTAATGCTTCAATCAGAAGGTTTACTTTGTATCCTCCACCAGGGAGTTCCATGGACCCACCGCGCCATGGCTGGTCAAAACCCAGTACCTTTGGTTGTATCCCATACTCCCGTGTCGAACGCTCGTATCTCAAAAACCCATCAGTTCTTTCGCTGGCGACGGTGAAAACTAGTGGTACTTCTGCATGTAATAAAATATTATTTATTTGTATTTATTGCATCTACCAGTTTTTTCTATTTATTGCATCTACCAATTTATTGATAAAATCAAATCTCAAAGCCTTTCGGGTTATTATTTTTTACAATTCTGCATTTAGTAGAATATTATTTATTTCTTTAGGGTTAAATGTTTAGGGTTGTTATTGCAATTATGCATGAACTATAGTATTATTTATTTTTAATTAATTACGTGTACGAATTCAATAATGAAAACAATTCTTTTAAGTCTCTAGGGTTTTATTACAATTCTGCATGTAACATAATAATATTTATTTCTTTTGATTGCACAAATTGAATAAATTGGAAAAGTATCAAAGATCGTAATATGTCTTCAGGGTTTTACAATAATTCTGCTTGTAATATTAATATTATTCCTTCAATTACATGGGGCCGTTCAAGTATTACGTAAGCACTATAGGGTGGCGGGGGGTTGTTGATTTGCTTATTTTGGGTTGACATGGGGGGCAGGGGAGTCTGGATGATGATTACGTCATAGGTAGTATTTTTATTTTTTTACATTAATTGCAAAAATGTTTACGTAAGTAGGGCGTAAGAGCTTTGCTTACTTTTGCTGACAAGGGGGATGGGGGGGGGGGTAAATAATTGTAATAAATCTGCTTACGTTATATTTGAACGCTCCCATGTATGAATTCAATAATGAAAACAAATCTCCAAGAACGTAATATGTCTTTTTAATGAAATTGCTGTGATTGTAATGATACTATCGATAATTGCAAATGAAAATTAAATAAAATTAATTAAAAACATTTCAATTACTTAACAAATGAGATTACCGCGAATTTAAAAACTCCAGTAAAAATTAAGAAAAATTGCTCTAAATCAGAGAACCATGTGTATGGAATTTGATTGATAATAGAGAGAACTCTATTATTTATAGAACATTTATAAATAATATATTATTTATAAAATATACGCGGGTATGTCCAGAGAAAATGAAAATATTTATAAATAATATATTATTTATAAAATATATGAGGGTATTATTATCTCAAGAGAAAATGAATTTCATAATGATCTCTGCGTTAGAATTTGTTTATAGAATAATATTAATTATTTATATTAATTAATAATATATAAGAAAATAATTTTATTCGATATTAATAAATCAAGCTTAATATATTAATATATTAAGCTTGAATTATTAATACCGAATAAAATTATTATTTTCTTATAAATATTATTCTTTAAACATATAAATGATTGATAGAAATAATTTGTTTTAATAAGAACTATGAACTAAATATAGCCTATCTAGAGTTTATATATGATTAATTTATTAAAAATAAAATTAATTTAAAATAAAAAAGAGAATTTCAATTATATTGACGTACGAACATATCAAATTATTTTCATTTGCTATATAATACAAACTTATATTTGTTATAAATAATTTGATTTTGATTAAGATCAATATAATTTAAATAAAACAAATATTTGTCTAAATCCCTCAAAAAAATTAAATTTAATAATGAATATGATGACTTTATGTTATTATTCTAAAATAGAATATTTATATGTAGAAAAGCAAACTTAATTTAATAATCACAATTGTGATTATTAAATTAAGTTTCTGCGTTTATATAAACATTTAAATTTATAAAAGCTGTTTATATTAACGCAGTTCGTTCTTTCTGATATGTTGTAAAATAACAGAATAAAATCATATTATATTTTTAAAAATATAATAATTTCAATAATAATTTAAATTAAGGAATTTGATCATTATAATTAAACAAATTAAAATTAATAAAAATTAATTTAAATTAATTAAAAAGTTAATATATTAATTAAAATAAAACAAATATTCATCTAAAAGCTTCAAATAATGTAAAACAATAATTTAGGTTTTATAATATATAATAATTATTATATATTATTAAATCTAAATTATTGTTAAAATTATTATATTTTAAAAAATATAACATGATTTTTTTCTGCTATTTTATAAAATATAGCGAAAGAACGAACAGCGTTAATATGAACAGCTTTTATAAATTTAACTGTTTATATAAACGCAGAACAATTAACTCTTTGTTTCCTGTACAAAACAAAGTGCATTTATTAATTTCATGGATACACTTAACTGCTTTAGTAAAACATGAGAAAATAAAGATATTTCTATATTTTATTTTATTCAATAAATAAAAATAAGAGATGAAACAACTCCTGTTTAAATGAATAAAAAAATAGATGAAACAACTCCTGTTTAAAAGTCTTACCTCCATCATTCTGATCATCACAACGTATTTGACTAGCAGTAATATAAAAAACGCACAGTGAAAAATATAACTTAAAATTTAACATTTTATTCTAATATTAATATGGCACAGAATCATTCACTATATTAAAATTGTTTATCTCACATTTATCTAGGTTATAGACGCGACGCTTTTGACCCTAGTCGGTATTAATCTAGCGTCAAGTGTCGGAATACTGAAATGTATTCGGAGTAAAAATATATGAATCGTAAGCGCAGGAAGTTCTGCGATAATAATTACATATTATGTGATATGATTATTATAAACAATTTTCTGATTCTGATACTCGCGAGGAGTTTTGTGCGACTGTTCTGTCATTTTGAAGTCACGTAGGCCGCAGGCGTGATGAGATGCACACATGTGCTATGTCAGATTGTTGGGAACGTTGGGAATGCATTGGTGTTGGTGGAGCGTTGAAGAAATCTGGATCAAAGCATAACACAGCAGTGCAAAAGACGTAGCACATTACTCTGTAGATGGGGATCATTTTTATAAAGGACTCTCAACTTTTAGAATTAACTAGCTGTAAGTGGAATTCTGTCTTAAGGCAATTAGGGCATCGTGCCTTAAGGCAAATTGCTGAAACTTTTCGTACCGCAATTCAAAATTCGAGTAATTAAAAATAATCAATAATAATAATCAATAAAAGTTGATCAACGATTTGAAACTTTTAATAGAATTTCGAACCATATTAAATCATTCTATCTTAAATCATTTATTTTGAAATATTTTGGAAATTCTGAACTTTTTTTCAAAGCAATCGTACTGCTTTAACTGCATAGAGACGAATATCAAAGCGCGTAAACGCCGCGTCGCCATAGGAATGTAAACAAAATTTATACTTATTGTTAAAATCTCTATAAAATATCTGATAATACGATGTACATATGTCTAATGTTCATTTTTGACCGCCAAATGGCTCATCTTTTTTACTTTTTCCTCCATATCTCCAAAGTCGTTGGACCTGCCTTTCCAAAAATTTGAACAGTTCTTCAATTAGTCAATACAAATAAAATGTTTTTTGAATTATTCAAATCGGACGCTCCGTTCTCTTAAAAACTGAGTTACCGTTTTCGGCACTTTTTGCCCCGTATCTTTGGAACGGCTAGACCTGCCTTTTCCAAAAACTAATCAGCACGTCTCCTTATCAATACGAATCGAATGGTTTTTGAATTATTCTTATTGGTTGATCCGTGTTCCCGAAATCGTCGACGAAAATTTGTATCCGACCATACATACATACACGCACACACACACATACATAAAAATATAGCAAATTATTTGTTGCATATAGTTTTTTGTATTTATAGCAAATTTAATATTTGAACTAGTGGTGCATGGCATAGTGCCTTAAGGTAACTTGCTAGAGCTTCCAGTACCGTAATTTAAAATTTTTCAAAAGCTTTAAATTTTTTTGAAAAGTTTGAATAATTAGATTTTTTTGAAGATCCTAAAAATTTTTGAAAATATTTATTTTTTAGTCAATTTCACATTCCGTCAATGAAATTGAAATGTTATTTGAATCATTCTAAATTACTAAATTGCCATATTTATCAATTTTTGCCCTGTATCTTCGAAACGGCTGCACCAGCCTTTGCCAAAAATCAATAGAAATCGAATGGTTTTTGAATCATTCAAATCGATTGATCTTATCGAAATCGTCGACAAAAAATTGTATCCGCACATGCACACGCACATTAATATACAAACACACACATATATCCCTTTTCCTAACTAAGTTATGCCAAAATGTTCAGAAGGTCATGAAACATAAAGATATGCAAAAAAAATGTTTGTTTTGATTGCTATGAGGGAAGTTAAACTTTAGAGGAGCATATATTTACAACATTTTATTTTAAATTCTATACTATTTTAATGTATTATATCAGTTTTACTATTTTTTATTAACGGGTAATTCAGTAAATTAATTTTTTATCTTTCTCCATTACGTCTAGTTTTCACATCTATTCAATATTACAATTACAAAACAAGTATATATCAATTTTTACACAGTACTGAGGAACTCAATCTAAGAACTTATGGTTGAAAGACTGATTAGCGATCTTGAAGATCCTTAAGAGCTCGAGCCATTCGGAATCGATTTCAAACAATTTATACTCTATTTTAAAGATCTTTTTGAAAAAAATTGATATACCAATTTTCAACTTTCTAGGGGCCGTCCGTTAATCACGTGATCGATTTCCAATGATTTTTGGATACCCATGATGACACGTGGTGATATTTAAAATTCCCCCCCCCCTCTTCCATAAAACATTATGTGTATTTTTATTTCCTTAAAAAAATAGTAAAATTTTTGAAATTTTCTTAAAAATTTGTTTTAATTTTTTTTAATTCATGTAAAAAAATAATACACGTGATATCTTACTCTCCCCCGCATGATATTTCGTGATTATTTAACGTAGATTTAAATTAATAAGCCCTTAAGTCATTTTTAGCGACGACTCTGGATTTTATTAAAATGATCCTTGTAATAAGAACAACATATATGCATTGTCTTGTAATCGGAACTATTCCAATGATTGCCAAAGTAATAAATGCAAGAAATTTCTTTACATATATTAATATACGACTTAAGATCATTGAAAAAGTTTCAATTAATTTTAAAGTATTAGGTTTGTTTATAATATCTGCATATATAATTAATGATGAATTTTGAATGTTTCTTCAAATAAAATAAAAAAATAAATTAGAACATGTACGTCATGCAAATGTGATGAGTTTTAGTGCCTTTGATTAATATGCGGGCTATCCTTCGATATCATTTATCATACAATTGAGATTAATAGAAATTCTTCAATAATCAAATGGTTTAAATGCTGCTGAAATATGCTTCTGTTATACAGAACAATTTATTTGAAATAGATTAATTGAAAATATATTATTGTAAGAACAATATAATGTTATACTAGAGGAATTCAGAAATCTTTGGATTATTAATTTATTTATTATTACAAAATTATAACAATGCATAATTTATTAATTTGTGTTACAGTTTCGATTTTTTTCTATTTTTTAGATTAATATATATATATATATATATATATGTATATATATATATATATATATATATATATATATATATATATTGTTTATCGTTTTATTTATAAACAAAAATCTTCATTTTACCATGCACTTGCCTTTATTTCCATCCGTCGTGGGTAGTTTAAGGCCATCACAATAATTAGATTCATCTACTTTAGAACAAGTAGCTTCATTAGTAACACTTAGTTCACACTTCAAAAATAATAAAATTAAAATATATTCATAAACACGTTTCAAAAATTTGCTATACATTTTAGGATATGGTGTTTACATCGCTGTTACATAGCTACTGATAGATTTACAACAGAATGTTGTTGCTTTTCAAAATAATTCGGGACTATTGGAGCAGAAATTTACTTTCGTTTCTGTACAAAAACTATATTATCTATTTCTCATTTTATGCCTGAACGGTCATAATATTGAAATTACGGTGGCTTTTGGAAATAATTCGTTTTAATACATAATATTCAAATGTTCATAAAAATAAAGCATAGCAGAAAAGAATCATTTGTGTTTCAAATATTAAAATCTCTATCATTTTAATTATTTTTAGATAATTTTGGTTCTGATGAGAGAGGTTGTTCTAAAATAAAAAAACATGAGACGAATCAATTGGTTTGCCTGGTGTTTTTGATTATCATCTACTTTCAGTCACGTTTCACTTGAGAATGATTACACCTCTGAACAAGTCTAATAAAAGATAAAACCAGCAAAAAAAAGTTCGAATGAATCATTTATTAGATATATTTGTGGTAAAAACGCTTGGTTACTTGTTACAGTTCTGGCCCTAATATTCTAGTGGAAACGCCTAAAAAAAGTGCCACCTCGATGGATTACAGCACTATAATAACATTCTTTCACACAATTTTACTTATTATATTATATATTCATGATTCATTATTATAGTTTTGCTAACCTTTCGAAACCAACTCATATAAAATTTATCCTCAAAGTTCCAAGTTTTGGTAGATACTACGAACAAAATGCTAATCCGTTTATTTTCATAGTGAATTTTAAACGTTATGAATCATAAAAAAAATCGTTCAACACCCTTCCACGTACTCATTAATTTTTCACACACAATATTTTTAATTCGTTCGTTATTCGTTAGCTTTCGAATTAATTATTTAAATATGTGTAAAAGCTTCAAGTTGCTTTAAATGTTTTTTATACGGTAAACTATTTGAATTTACCTTAAGAATAAATATTAAATATAAATAATAAATATTCTTATATTTATTACTTATTCTATATGATTATTCTTTATTCATAATCTGTATTTTCCTTGGAAAATATTCTTTTTCATTTCTAAATCGGAATTTTTGCGTTATCAGTCCTTTCCGTATGCTTATCAGGACTATCCGCTTAACAACAAAAATGACGTAATTATTAATAATTTAATATTTAACATAATTATTTAATGTTTTAGTTATCAATGCTAATGATCATGTCAAAATATAATGAGAATTAAAGAACTAATAATGATGAATTGAAAGAGCCATATGGCACAGGTTTAAAATAATTACTATGAAATTATTAAAGTTCCAATAATTAAGAAGTTTTTTGTTACTGGACTGTTGAAAATGCATCGACATCAACTTTAGTCATAACATGTGTAAAATGATAACGCGAAAGAAAATATAGAGTTACATAAGATAACCTTTATAACTTATAGTAATGATTAATTTTACTATTGAAGAATGTTATCACTTGGATAAAGTTAATAATTAAAATATCTTGTCCTCAATAATAATTAAAAAAAAAATTCATTTGTATATAAATTCAACTATCGTCATCGCCTTCTTTCTTTCATATCCCTGATGATAAAATATATTACTAATAATTCACATACCTTTTTTGAAAAATAAAATAAATGTAAACTAAGGATAAAAGGCAGATCAGCAAGTTGAAGTATTTCAGGAAAGATTTTGTTCGATAAATTAGGAAATATTAATATTAAAATTAGAAATCTATAAATAAGTTGTTTTATTTAAATGGAGTATATTACCAATACATATCATGATAATTTGTTACAAAAGAGAAAAAACAATAGATACATGGCAAAGATATCTACATTTAAATAAATTTTGGCTGATGCTTGTCTGACTTAACTAGATACTTAAAAATTTGATTTATAATAATAAATATTACATTGTTACAGATGTTTCAATAATTTTTGTTGCCTGTTGCAATCTTTTCATTACTTTTCAATTTAATAGTTTTGGCAATAAATGAGTGGTATGTTTTGCAATTTTTATATCATGATTCCCCACAAATGTGGTGAACCAGGTGTTTTAAGATGTTATAATGTGATGAAGTTATTTACAATTTCTTATGATTCACCACCTTCTTCGTCTTCTTCGGCAGCGGCAGTCAACATTTGGATGAGCTTCTGGGTATCAATGAAGCCCTATAAATACAATAAGCGATGTAATAATTTTAAATTAATTATACAACGAGTAAAAGATTTTGAGAAATTGAAACTCACTTTATCGTCAATGACCATTTGGTCGTAGGCGTCATCAACTTCTTGGGCAGTGAATTTATCTCCCCAGGTCATGAGGGCATGACGTAACCTGAAACAATTCAAATCAAAAATTAAATATAACAAATATTTTTGAAAAGTACATGAAATAGCTAATGTTTTTGCTTAAATTACCTGTCACTGTCGATTTTGCCGTCATTGTCGAAGGTCTTGAAGGCGTTGATGACAACATCATCATCATCAGTACCACCTGATCCAGACATGCGGTTGGCGAACAAGGTCAACAATTGGGTGAAGTTGATTGGTCCTGAGGCCTCACCGATCTTAAAAATTTCAATCGTATCACGTTAAATACAAATTTTGTTATTTCGCTGATTTATTTTGTCAGAATTACTACTAACCATGTCGTCGAGTTCTTTCTCTTGTACCAAACGGCCCAATTCGTCGAAAGTGGCACGAAGATCGTTCTTTCCAATGATACCATCTTTGTCGTGGTCAATTAGCTGGAAGGCTTCTTTGAATTCAGCTACCTGTAATAATAAATTATAGGTAGTCAATTTAAAATGTCACAAATTTATTAAAACAAACAAAATTCATTCGATTTTGTAGTAAATTAGTTTCTCAAAAATCATAAAACTAAATGGTAATTAAAATAACATTTGCAGCTTTTCGATTAACTAAGATGAAATTGCTACGACTTTTTTTTTCTAATAATCTTTGATCTACTATCAGCTTCATATTGCGCTTATCGCTTCGTAACTGTTTTTTTTAAATATATGAACATTTTATATCAAAGATATGAGAATTTTATGTAGAACGTTCTCGATATAAAAAGCAAATTCAGCACATGTGTCAATTTAATATTTAAATAAAAAAAGGGACTTTGTTTTCTCTTTTTCTAATAATGATCAAAAGCTATGTTGAAAGCAATATGTAAAACAAGTTTGCGTAAAAAATTGTTGTACTTGAATATATTATATTTTTTAACTTCCCGTAGGGCAAGTTATAGTAATCGCAAAAAAATTGAAAATGAATTTCTTTATATATCTTTACGTTTCAGAGGTATCTGAACATTTTGGCATACCTTAGAAAAAATGGATGTATGTGTGTGTGTATGTGTGTGTGTATGTGCGTGTATGTGTGTGTGTGCGGATACAAATTTTCGTCGACGATTTCGGGAACACAGATGAAGCGATTTGAATAATTCAAAAAACATTCGATTCGTATTGATAAGGAGACGTGCTGATTAGTTTTTGGTGAAGGCAGGTCTAGCCGTTCCGAAGATATGGGGCAAAAAGTGCCAAAAACGGTAACTCAGTTTTTAAGAGAACGGAGCGTCCGATTTAAATAATTCAAAAAACATTTTACTTGTATTGATAAGATGAAGATATAACAAAAAAAGTAAAAAAAATGCCATTTGGTGGTCAAAAATAAACATTGGACATATGCACATCAAATTATCAGATATTTTATAGAGATTTTAACAATAAGTATAAATTTTGTTTACATTCCTATGGGTTCCGTACTCGCTTCGATATTTCGTCTTCATGCAGTTAAAGCAGTATTGCTTTGCTTTGCGATTGCTTTGAAAAAAAGTTCAGAATTTCCAAAATATTTCAAAATAAATGGTTTAAGATAGAATGATTTAATATGGTTCAAAATTTTATTAAAAGTTTCAAATCGTTGATCAACTTTTATTGATTATTATTGATTATTTTTAATTACGCGAATTTTGAATTGCGGTACGGGAAGTTCCAGCAATTTGCCTTAAGGCACGATGCCTTAATTGCCTTAAGACAGAATTCCACTTACAGCTCGTTTATAATAATGTTCGGCAAATCAAAATAGTACTTTGTTACCCCACCTGCTTTTGTGAGAACATGGAGAAAACGTTAGATCCGCTGCGCTTGACGGCTTTGCGGGATCCCCTGGATGATTGGCGTTCGCTGGCGGCGGGGGCTGCAGCTGGAGCTGGTGCGGCTTCAGCGGCTGGGGCATCTCCAGACTCTTCTTTTGCCTTCTTCTTCTTGATCTTCTTCTCCTTATCGGCCTGGTGGGTTAGGGTAAAGTTAGTTAAACAGAACACCAGATGAACCGATTATTACAATATTGGATTGTAATAAATAGGATGGAAAAAATATGTATTAAGGTTAATGGTCGCTTTTGTTTCAAGAAATTTCACAAAATCCTTTATTTTCACAAAGGATTCAAGGTTCGAACTCTGTGAGACTCAAACAGAAATTTGAATAGGGAAAAATTAAAAAAAAAACACAAATAGGGTACGTGTGTAATAGTGAACCCCCTTTATTTTATTCCTACCATGGTTATAATTTGGCAATATTTCTAAAACAATTGTGCACTGTGTAACAAAGTTTATGAATAATATGAACCGCCATCTAGTCTTATTTATGTGGAACTTTATATTCTGTAGAATGTGGCGTTTTAATTTAAAAATATTAAAAATACTTTAAATGATTTTTTGTTAATTTTGTGAAAAACCCAAACCTTAAAATGATCCTTTTCAATTGATGGTGGTGAATTAACGCAACAAAAAATATATTAAAAAAATTTCTAAGGTTTTAACTCTCGAAATAGAATTTCCATATACTGCGAGGCGTAATAATGGACTAAAAGTATTATGTTTCTCTATCATTATAGAATTCCAATTATAGTGCGTGCTCAGACACCACACTCGATATCCTCAAGTTCTAATTATAGCTCCATTGCCCACATTTGATTCTATCATTTCTACTCGCGGCCATCCGAAATTATTTATAGATACATACTGATATCGAATTCCTGAATTCCTAACCAATAGTAAATGATGATGAATAATTGTTTACATTTCGCTCATTAGTTAAATTATTTTCATTTGGAAATGATGTAATATCGGTTAATGGTAAATAGTGTCATCAGAAACTGATCTACAATGCATATGGTGTAGAGATATAGTGATAATCGTCAACGCGAATTAGGATTGGAAATAAAATCATGTTTGTAGTCATATGCATAAGCAAAAAAATGAAAAACTATTATTAATTATGACTGCCTGTGTACTTACTATAATTGTTATATTATCCCATATAAAAATGTAAGGATGATAGTAATTTAAAGATAATTTAAACCGCAGAGTCGCAGTCTATAATGTTTCTTACATGTGACAAGTGGACGTAGCCCACTAAATGAATACCTCCGAAAAATCATTAATGGCCTAAAGAGCTTTGTCCTTTCAAAATGAAAACTGTATTTAGTGTGCACATGACATTTGCAAAAACGTATTAAACCAATCGGTTCACCATTTTCGATATCGCAAACGAACTAATCCTCTTAAACTGCCCAATTTGCACAAGTAGACGTTATGTGATCATAATTGGACCCTGCACCTTTCACACTTCAGAAACCACTTCAGAATTTTTATATTAAAAAACAAAAGCTTCACTTATTTATTTATTTTTTTGTTTCACTTGTTGGGATTGTGTTTGTGTTCTAGACCCATAATATACTTGATCACTTACCATTTTGTTTAATTAAGTTTGTTATCGGTACGAGAGGAACCACACCACTGACCCAAGGTAGTCCAGAGATGTTATAAGAAACCTCGCCTGGTCCCCACTTCGGAGCCAAGCAGGACACTCCTTATATAGTTACCGTTATATATCTAAATTTAAATGAAACCAGGAGCTCATAACGTTCTTTGCGGTATGCGGCGAATGTTCACTCTATAGTCCCAAGAAATAAAATATTTTGTCAGTTTTTGTACATATAAACTAATATAATAAAATCAAATTTATAATCAATAATTAAATAAATTATATTATATTCGATAAACGTACATCTTTTATATTTATATTAACTTAATGTTTCATTAAGTTACTGTATAATTTTTTTTTTATTTCTGCTAATTTTAATAATCAGATTACAATACAATCTATAAGTTAAAAGTTATGGTATTGAAAACCAAAATCAAGAAGAAAAAAAAATAGAATAAAAGAAATTAAAGAAAAGAAATAGAATAAATTAATGATTAATTAAAATTTAAAATAATAGTAATGATAATAAAAACGATAATCAATAATGAATAATAATTAAAAATAACTTTTTTGAAATCTTCCTGTGCAAAACAGAGAAAATTATGTTGTTGACTATATAAAATAAATAAATAAATATTTTAGATTTTACATTGATCTACGGATAATAATTAGCGTACTTCATAACTCATAATTCTAATTAATTTAAATAAATTAAGTACTTCAAAATATTATTCAACAGTTTTAACAGTTTCTATTAACATGAACAATAAACTGATGTATCATAACAAATATTCTTTCTTTTTAAGTTTATTTCCTGAATTTCGGCCCTTTTCAAAGTTCTATAAAAGACTAGATTTAAAACCTAGATTTAAATAATTATTACCATCTATATAGTTCGGATTTTTAACGTAATTAATATTAATACTGAAAACTTTGATAAAAAAATATTATAACGTGATGTATTTAGCATGTATACCCCCTCAATAATTAAAATCAAAATGCAAACAAAGGAACAGCATTTCTGTAATTCGCATAAACCGAAAATTCTACTAAGAAACTCAAAAGTATCAAACAAATAATTAAAAATTGAAGATACTAGACATTTTTACTTCACGGGGATATTATTTTAATTATTTCGGCTCTGTATAGCAAAATTCTATTAATAAACTCCGCTGTTCCACATAGTTATATTGTATCTTATTTTAGCAGAACCATAGGCTTATCTTCCTGCAACGAAAAACAGCTATTATTTTGCTTATATTACATCATATTATATTTTGCAGAGCATTATTATCAAAATTGTATACATATAAATGGGAGCTCTGCCAGAAGAAAGGTCTGTGAGCCGAGTTAAATTTCAAATCTAACTTGGAAGTGTAAAAGATTTTCCGTTGACATTTCGCAGCACTAAAAATGGGCTATTTTCAAAAGAACGCATATTCGATCTAAATACGTGAAAACAGTTATATCTGCTACCTGATATCTGATTGTCCAAAGCGCGGGTTTGATCTGAAAAATGGAGTGAAAATAATTACTCAATGAAATTTTGTTTTTAAACGTTTTGGAGATGTAGAATGTCCCGTTTGTCAAAAACTTCTTAAAACAAACAAAAAATGTGTTATATAATTATTTAAATCTGTTTCTTAAAAAGCAGGCTTTTATAAAACCCTAAACTACCCCTAAAGTTTTGATCAATAGTATCCGCTGTTGATTGTCCATCAGATTCAAATTTCAATCCAAATCCAAATTTCAATCGGTGGATCAATTTACTAAAAAAAATCGAGTTTAGATGATCGAACTTCATTAGATTTTTCAATTGCATTATTATTGTTTTTTTTTATATTTAGCCGACATTTAGTATATAACAGAAAGTTTTGATCAATAGTATCCACTGTTGATTGTCCATCAGATTCAAATTTCATTCTTGTTTTGCTAACAAGTTAACAAAAATACATAACGTTATGAAATGGAATAACAAAATCATAGATTAATACATTCATTTCTTCTTTATTATAAACATTTCAAAGCTATATCGTTGTACATTCCACAATTATTGATATATCACAAGGGTGCCATTTTGCTAATTTGTATCATTGTATTAAGTTCCTAATATTAAAATACTGCGTGAATATCAACAAGTTTATTTTCTGGTTTGACTTCAATGTACTCCGAGCTTCCTTTGGGCCTCACCAAGATCATAATAGAACCGTTGTCAGTAATAGATGTAGCTTTAAGGAAAACGGCAGCTCCGGGCGTCAGCACACCGCGCTCGTGGGCGGCTGCCAATTGATTCACTACACGCCGCTCTACCTAAAATAAATTAGTTCCATACATTGTTAGTATTGTCAATCATTTGATGGGAATCGGATACCATGTATAGTTTGCTACTATATTATATATCAAATTTCTATATTATCTATCTAATTTCTATATTTTTGCACATAAGTACGATTATTTATGATACCGCATTAAATTTAGTCTATAGAACAATATTATCATTATATTTAATATATGATATATATGGACTATTGCAATACCAGTACAAAAATTAAATAGATTAGACCCGATTATCAGAAATTTATGACATAAAAAAGAATAAACTAATGAACATTCTGAAAATAACAAAGTATATAAAATTCGAAAAATATAAAATGTAATATGAATAATTTAGTATTAAGGGGCACAACTAGTGTGAAATTTTCAAAACATCGAATTTTCAATTTTTCCATATTTCGATAGGTTATACCTTCAAAAATAACATGCCAAAATTTTAAATCGATATCTTAAATAGTTTTTGAGTTACAGCCATTTAAAGAGTATATATATATACGAGTATATAGTATATATACTCTTTATAAGTATAACGATCATTTTATCTTTAAACGCGTTTTTCTCGAAACAGCATTTTCCGATTTTGCTGCAGCGATTACTCAAAAACAAATGATCCGATCACTATCAAATTTTTTTACGTGTTCTATATATAGTTCTCCGTAAAATGAACTATCGATTTTTTTTATCGAATTTTGGCAGTCCAAAAACGACCAAAATTTTGGGTAAAATTCGACTTTTTTTAAAAAAAACGCCGTCATTTTGTCAATTTTTGATTTTTTTTCTTTACCGTAGTTCATTTTACAAACATCTTACATTATCTAGTTTAACGAATTTTTTTTTAATTACATCCACGTAGAAGGCCGGAATCACTGCAGCAGTGAAGGCCCTTTTTTTGTCGCGCCGTTGGAGATCGACGATAACTTAAAAAATATTTAATTTTTTACTATGTATTCTTAAAACATGTGTAAATATATACCTAAAATTTTGAAATGATTGATGATGTAGTTTTTTTAATAAAAATTCCCAAAAATCACCTTTTTTTAGGCAGTTACAAATTCTGAATTAAAACTATTTCTGGAATAGGATTGTATGACATCATATACAAAAATGTAATATATAAATATATAAAAAATATAAAATTTGGAAAATATAAAATGAAAAATAATTTATTTATTATTACAAAAATAATTATGTATGCCTAAGATACAAGTTCATCACATAATTAATGGCAATGCATTAATTAATTTTTGCGTTTTTCCAATAGAGAACATTTTTGAATTTGCATATTGAATGTACCTATTGATGAGTTGAGTAAACTTTGCAAATTAAACAATTACAACAAACAGAAAATAAATACTGTCAGTCTGGCTTTGCGCGAAAAATTTGAATAATAAATTCTTATACTAACATAAGCTGATAATTTAGCAAACCGGAGCGATCTAGTTTGATTTGACCGTTGGATGTTTTTCCCAAATGAATAGGATGATATACTATTTATAATATTAATATAAAAAAATATTTTTCACAATTTTTTTATAATGGAATAGGTGTTATTATCATTTATTTTAACAACGAAGTAAAAATTGAACACGTTGATAAGAATGTTATAGTACTATAGCCAATGCTATTATTTTTGTATTATTCGAACAGCAATTAGAACAATTATACAGCTGTACACAAATAATTAAGTATTGATGATTTAAAGCAAGGATTTTCTATGCGCAGTCATGTTTCAAGAATTATAGATGCAGCTAGAGTTTCATTCATTTTCAGTCCAAATCAAAAACTTCTGCATAAGACACATATGATGTTTAAGATGTTGATATATGCTTTCAATGTCATTGTTTTTTTACACCTATATATATTTTACAATCGCTAGATAAGATTGAGCGGTACTAACGTACGTAACATATTTTAAAAATAGCGCAATGAAATTTCTTTTTTAAGAAACAATGTCACATCAAAGGCGTTTACGTATATAATTAAGATAAACATGAATTACCTCATATTTTATACTTCGAGCACCATAATGCACATCATAGCCGTCCGCTAAAAGAGCTTCGACGTCTGTATCCCATGTTAGTTCGATTTTATGTTTTGTTCGAGCCTGAAATAGAAAATATTCAATACTAATTAAATTACTAGACTCACAATGAAATAAAGCTTCCAAGAACTTATTATATAAATATAGTAATATGGCATTCTACTATATTATTGTGCTATTCAGTACACTTACTTTATCCGCCCAATATTTTAATTCTCGTCCAACTAAAGTAAGTAATTCCGTTCTTGAAAAAGGAAGAAAATATACAATTTCATTTATTCGCCCAAGAAATTCGTCTCGCTGAAAATGCATTTTTAATATTGGACGTACTACTTTATCTTTGAAATATCGCGATACAGTTACGTCGCTGACGGGTTCAACATCTAAGAAAATAAAAACTCAATTAAGTTAATATAAATGCAATAAGAAATACTCAGGCATTACAAATTATAGTAAAAATATTATCTAAATTCAAAATAAAAAAAAATGGTTTCACCTCCTTCGCCAAGCTTTTTAGCAGCATTTATTTCAGCTTCTTTCCGCAGTTCCATGCCATGTTGTGCAATTTCATCACTGGCTAAATTTGAAGTCATCACAAAAATTGCATCTTTGCATTCGATCGTTTTACCTTTACCGTCGGTTAATCTGCCCTGCAAAAATTTATTCGGTATAACTCACAAAATAAGTACTATATGATATGCAATTAGAAACATAACTTACTTCGTCAAATAATTGCAGTAGTACTGTAAGTACATCAGGATGAGCTTTATCCACTTCATCAAAAAGTACCACCGCCTTTGGACAGTTTCGTAATTTTTGGGTTAATTGACCACCAGAGTCGTGCCCTATATATCCAGGAGGGGCCCCAATTAATTTAGCTACCTGTACAAATTATCATATAATTGTATTTTGTTGCAAAAAAGCAAAAATTTCGGCGTGATTTTATTTTAGATGCAATCAGTCCACAATTAGTCAAATTATTTGAGAAACGAGTAGAGAAAAAATATATAGTTTCCAAATTGTTCACCGAACCTTCTTTATTTCACTTATGACAGTGTAAGATATTCTTAAAACATAAACTTCTTCTTTGGGAAGTTAATAAAACAACAAAAAATTATATTTGACATTTTATTGTCCATTGAAAGTGATAGTAATATACAAATGTGAATTACCTATATGGAAATATTTGGTAAATGACATATCACAATGTTTCATAATATATTGTATGCATATATATATATATATATATATATATATATATATATATATCCATATTCAAGAAGCCTATAAAACGTGAGAAATATTTATAAAATGCAAAATAAAGCAATAAAAATATGATATTTGGAATGAAACGTTGATTAATGTAATTATTATAGTTATATTTTCAAAATAATAACTATTCGTTAAAATGTTTTCTTTTTTAATTTAGAATACGAATTTTGTCATAACTATTTATATTATTTTAAAAATGAGTTATATACAATACATGGTTAGAGGCACTCATTAAATAAATAAAATATTTGTCTATGTACATAAAAACAATGACAATTTAAAAAAATAATTTGACTGTACATTTTCTGGTGTTATATTAAAAAGGTGATAACTCTCAGTTATTTCCAAATAATTTTAAATTTAAATATAACTAATTTTCTACTAGCACAAATTTTCAAATTCTAGTGATGATTTTCTACTAGCGCATTTTGAAATAAGCTCTTCGTAAGGCTTTTTGTGTAGAAAACAGACTATAACAACAGTCATATTATCACATCCGAGTCCTCCCATTTGGCATTCGGGTGCCAGACAACGGGACATTAACTGTTCACAAATATCTTCAGGTTCCAAACCTATTCCTAGTCTATGTCTCACAAAACCTACGACATCTTCATTTGTCATAACATCCCATATACCATCACAAGCTAAAACCAAAAATTCCCAGTCTTCTGTTATATCACGTACTTCCACATCAGGATAAGCAGTTACAATCTGATCCTCTGGAGATTTCTTAGAATTTTGTTTATATGAAAAGTCACCTAATGCTCTCGATAGAGCCAATTTTCCATTGACCCTATTGAATTCAACCCAACCACCAGCAGCAATTATTCTTTGCAGTTCTGTGTCATTACCTGGTTTATGATCTAAGGATAATACTTCTACTTTTCCTCCAATACTGGCTATTGCACGAGAGTCACCTGCATTTGCACAATACAATCGGTTGTCTTTAATAATAATTGTGATTGCTGTTGAACCACACAATTCATTCTTTAAGTCAACATCCACTAACATTTCTGAGTCAATATCAAGAAATGCTTGTTTCATAGCAGTAACTATATCTGTTTTGAATTCAGATCTTTGCAACACAAATTTGTGTAAATGATTTCCTGCATACTGAGCTACTTTAGATCCTCCATGTCCATCATATACACCAAAAAAGGCAGTACCTGGATCGTCAGGCAAGGATAATATATGAGTGTGGGCATCTTCCATATTAATTCGCCATCCTTGCATGCAGCTTGATCCAACTTTGTAAATTTCATTTCGGCAAAAAGCGGAATGCTTTTCTGTTACGGGTTCTGATAAAGTTTGCCCCATTGTGTCAATTTGATATAAAGCGCTATTGTTTTTATTGTTTCTTTCACTTGTATGACATTTCCACAAAGTAGATTATTTTGAGCGTAATATTAGAATGTTTGTTTATGACATTAGCAAAAGTAAATATCATTTCAAAAAAATAATAATATACGCGCGACAGGAGAGTTATACATGTGAAGTTACGAGCGATCATGCGTGCTTTCAATTTTGGTTAACTACGTGTCACATTATAGTGTTGCCAATATTGCTTTATGATTACGAAAAAAACGCGCGCCCGTAAATTATTCAGAAAATAGAATGAAGAAGATTAAAACTATTTCAGATAATTAAAAAATTGACTGAAATTCTCTTCGTCGACAAGTCTATGTATTTATATGTAATTCATGTGATTAAAAATGATATTTTAAAAAATATTGACAAAGTAAACACATCACAAAGGATGACAAACATTTTTTACTGATAAGGTATCTGATAAGGTTCCAATTATCATGTGCAGTTGTTCACAAATTGCGTGGTATTTATTTATTTGGCATACATTATAATATAGTTGATTTGAAAATTTGATTGTGGCATTTGAAGTTAGGAAAAGAAAGGTACATAATCATTTATGCTTGGTCTTGTATATCCAATAAAATATATTTTCAAAATGAGTAATATTTTACTTGAAATATTCTAATTTCTAATAATTAATATCAAAAATATTTAAAGTAACAATGTAAATTTAAAATTATATTTTTCTATGTGGAGATTTTGAAATAAAGGAGAAATGAACTATTTTTTATATGCATTATTTTCAACAAACTTAAAAATGTTTCCTTGTTCCCATTAAACATAAAGTTGTTTTATACCAGTTTAAATATTGAATATTGAAAGTTTTCTCTAATATTTTATGATATATGATATATATAAGCTGTATAGAAATTATAAAGGAGCTTTTTGTTTTTGATAAACAATTACCTCGTGCTTTTCCTGATATTCTGACATATCCAGTCTAATAAAACCTGATGGTTTATCTTTATGGATGTAGTTTGCAAGTTGTTTTGCCAATTCCGTTTTGCCTATTCCGGATGAACCCAAAAATAAAAACACTAGAGGATGTTCTTCATCTGCCCACCCATTTTCTTTGCGTCTGATAGCTAAAATTTCAATGTTATACTTCTTATGCAATAGTGATGCATTACTATTCACATTTTCATGAAAATGGTACTAAATTTTCAAACACAAGCCTTTATAAGATATATTACCTGATCCAACAATACCAATTGGCCCTTGTTGTCCTACAATCTTTTGCTTTAATCGTTGTTCTAAAGGAAATCTTCTACGTTCTTCAACTTCTCGTTGCTTCTGAAGATCCTTAAACTGAAGATTTAAAACATTTAGAGAACAATTATGATCTTTAAATGTTATATCTATATTAATATACATTCATTTTTAATGAATGTAAGAGTAAACCAATTTTTATTAGATGAAATGGTAAATAAAACATGAAAAATATGATAAAATCTTGTTTCATGATTTATATGTCACCTTTTCAGAAACAGATGCCAATAATTTTTTTGTTTCACCTTCTGCTGCATAATGAATAGGTTCCCTTCCTGCATGATCCACAATTAGAGGATCTGCACCATTGTCTAACAAAGCTTTTACTGTTGGAAAACTATCTACCAGTACTGCATAATGCAGAGCAGTAAAACCCTGGAATGATGCACGATGGCTTAATCTCGCTGAGAATTCTTCTTCTCGTTTTGCTAAAACTAAAATTAAGATATCAGTTATTAATTGAATATATAAATTCATAACAAATTTAAAATTTTTGCATCTTTTATGCAATTTGCATTGCCATGTGACACAATCTTTAGTACGTTTATTCTCTTAAATTTTAATATTTTTCCACATAAATATATTTCAGAATATTAATTCAATTTCTCAATTAGTAGTGATTTTTTATGTCCATTTTAAATTACCATCTAATAAATGTAAGCCATGTAAATCTGCAGTTTTATGAACGCTCATGAATTCTTCTTGAAGGTTTGGTTGAGCTCCTGCCTTTAATAATGCTAAAACTGCATTAGTTTTGCCATTAACAGCGGCTGCCATCAAAGGAGTCCACCCAAGGGGATGCCTCACATCCAAATCAATCTTATCTTTTAATAAGAAATTAAGCTCCGTCATATTTCCTTGTTGTGCAGCTTTTAATAATTTTGGAGCTGTGAATATTATTGGACAACATTCATATTTCGTGATTAGTACAATATTACAAAATAAAATACAAGATTTACCAGTCATATCGGGAGAATTGCATAATGCTAATGTTAATCCTAACACAGCAGCTAATTTTGTAAATCTATTTTGATTTTTGTTGAAGAAATAATTATATTGACTTTTCCCACGCTCATAATTTTTATATTTTTTTGAAGAACTAGATGCTAATGTATCGCGTTTATAAAAATAATTAATACGAATTTGTTGTAATATTTGTACTACAAAGCCCGGCTTATATAAAAAACTATTTCTATTTAATAATTTAAAAGCAAGTGCTAAATTTTTGTACATTGTGATTAACAGATTTTAAAGAGGCCTTCAAAAATAACAAATAATCTTCATATTGTAATAAATATTGTTAATGGATATACTTTGTGCAATTTAGATATTTTAAAATTTATATGAAATATTTGACGTTTGGCCACTGTGATTTATTTAAATCCATACTTCGAAAATAAATAAATTTTAAAAACTATTTTTGCACAAGTTTTCGAAAATTAACTTTAATATTATTATTAATAAGCTATTAAATTTGCAAAAAAGTCATTAATTTATAGGTTAACAATTTGATGCACTGACATTTGCTAGAATTTGAAGTTCACGTGTCTGAAATGTCACTAACTATTGCCAACAATCTAAAACTAATAGTATGGGCGCTAAGTACAAATAACATATAAGTAATAAAAAGATTTGTACATAGATAATAAAGATATAAAATATAAATAACATATAAATCTATGTATATGATAATGAAGATTCCTATAAATTTTTTTCATTCACTTTATTTCTGTAATTTGATGTAAATTATGTTTTGACTTATTACAAAACGTGTACGTTACACACCAAATTTCGAATTTTAGGCCAGAATTAATCGGTTGATTGCTTTCCAATAACCAACCTCGTTAGATTATTATATTACATTTCTGATAATGTCTGTTTCTGCTGTTTTTTATTGTTTATTTGTTGTTACACGTACATTATTCATATACGAATTATAAGTTAAAATTTTTTTTTGATGTATATATATATATATATATATATATATATACAATCAAAAAAAAATTATAATTATATAGTGCATCACATATCCTTTTTTTGTATTATATAGTGCATCATAGATACATTACTTTGTAATATCAATAATGTTACAAATTATTGGTTGGGAGGGAGATTTTTTGCCTTACCATCTCATCTATAATTCTTTATCTTCCCATTTTTTTGCATTTCATAATGACGTGCTCAGCATCCGCCTTAGTCACTCCACCCAAGCAATATCAATTAGAATTGGTATTATTT